AGCAAGAGAGTACATGTGGAGAGCGCCCAAATCTGGGTTCATAAGAGTAAATTATGTTTTTTAGAAGTTGCAGTGCAGCAACGTGCGATACAGTAACCAAAATTTAAATCGGTGATTGTTAGGTAAAACAATGTAAACGATAGTTGAAGATATTGTCGATATAAAGATAGTCAAGAACGAATATCGTATGAGAGAGTTATGATTTTTATACGGACTTTAACAGTCTAATCCTATAAAAATATAACTTTAAAAATAAAGTGGGAATTAGCCGACGGGGTCTAAATGAAAGTTGTAGATCTCGTCGATAGCTACACGTGGATATAAAGAACGTCGAAAACGAAGTTCGTATGAAGAAGTTAAAAAATTTACAAAATTTGCGTTTTGCATGGCACACTTGTAGAAGGTGGCAACACGGATCACAGAGAAACTGACACGTAGCACAAAATGGACTGGGAGACGTCGCCTTAAGCGCATGGTGCGCACCTTGAAAGACGCGGTACACACCCCAAAAACCGCCTATAAATAGGATCAACCCCCCTCATTTCTTCCACACCTACAAAACTCTCTTTTGGAAAGTTTTCCTTAGATTCTAGAAGTTTTAGACGAGCCATGAGTTGTCGAAGAGATAGAAATGTTCGGGTCGAAGTTCTGCGCGTGACCTTTGCAGTTTTCGCTAGAAACCATCTGTAAGTTAGGCTCATTTACTACACTTTAAGTGTAACTTATATTTATATTCATAGTCGTTGTTATGGATATATAAATAAGATTTATCAGCAATTCCAGTTATAATGCTGATTGATCTACTTACGGGAGAGGTGTCTAGAATGGTAATGTTGGCTTGGGTGTTGGATTTCAGAAAGGCTATATGCCGAAATGGTCCTGCCTCCCAATTTTCCTGCCTGGTTGATCTTTATTTGATAAAACTCTCAGTATTTATTGGGATTAGTGAAAGATCTAGCTTTCATTACTAGATTGTCATAGAAATTAATAAGTAATAGTATTATGTTAATACTCGTTAGGCGCGTTACCCACCGGTTGGATCACCAGTAGAATCACCCAGATAGTTGTCAATCGTCTGAGTAATTGTCCAAGTGAGTTACCCCACTATACTGTGTATTACGAGACATATCCATGTGTGTTAGGTTATAAGATCTAGTAGAGTAGAGCCGATAGTATAGTCTCTAGATGCTCAATGTTAGTGTACTCAAAGTTAGTAGAATAGAAAGTATGACCTCTATGTGTCTGTATTAGTAGAGCCTAAAAGCATAGTCTCTATATGTGTAATATTATGTATGCATGCCGAGTGGGGCCCATTAGGTAGTTTGGGTGGGGCTCGTTTATAAGTAGGTTGAGCGGGGTCCATTAGGTAGTTTGGGCGGGGCCCATTTATATGCTCATGGGCGGGGCTCATTTATATGTTTATTAGGCAGGGCCCGATATATGTATTATATGAAAGATATAGTATGCTCAAGAATCATATTAAAATGATATTGCTAATTAACATATGATACTAGTGGATCAGACTAACAATAACTTGATACAATTGATTATTATTAGAAATTGATTTTAATAAATATTCAATAATCTCTTATAATTATTGAGAATTATTAATTCCTAGGAATAATTAATTTTCATTAGCAAGTAACATAATATATCATATGATATGATTTATAAACTCATGTACACCATTTTGGACCATAAGGACTTTTTGTCATTTACCAAAAGATAGAGTTTATATTTTATAAACATTGAGTTTATAAAATTTAAACAAATTTTATTCTTTTTGAAAGCATGAGCCGAAAATTACATGAAAGAAAAGAGTGATGGTCTTTTGTATTATTTAATCAAAAGAAATAGGTATGGGTGCATTCATGAGGGACAAGCTTGTCTAAAGGGCTTAATGGTTAAGGAACTTTAGATTAAGCCTTCTCTTTAAGTAGCTAAAGGCTTTCATTCTTGCATTACTCTTTTGCATGCATATAGCCGAAAGTTATAAGCTCTCTCTCATCTTCTCTTCTTTTGCTTTGAACACTTGAAGAAATTACTACATGTTTATGCTATCTTGAAGTTCATATTGGTTATGAACTTCAAGCTTAAGAGTTAAGAGTTTTGGACTAGCATCTACATCAAGTTGAGTCATTGTTGGTGTCTCTAAAGTTCATCATTCTTCATCAACTTTCAAGCATCCCAAGAAGACCCAAAAAACTACAAAGGTTGTTATTTCTTCATCTCTTCTTTGGTTGATGTTTAATCTTTCTATAACTTGCAAGATGATCATTGGTGGGTTTAAATTATTTATGTTATTGAAAACTCATAAGTCTTCCGTTGCCTAAATATTATGTTTTTGAAACTAATTTTTGACTAAAAACCCAACATTGTGATATATTGTATTTTGGGGAACTCACTAAGCTTCGTGCTTACCCAGTTGAATATAAATATTTTTCAGCTGCTTCATTGACTCATGTGAAGGGAAAGGTTTGACTGTACACACGCGCATTCGCAATATGTTTCCATATAATGTAATATACTCTGATATATTGAATAAATAAAAATGAAAAATTTGGGTTGAAATTCGGGACGTTACATAGAGACAAGGGTATGGGGATTCACCGGGAAAACAGAGAAAAGGAGGGAGCAGCTACGACGACGATGTCGGAACAATGCAACCATCGATAAGGGGTGGCCGAAATTTAGGGTTAGCCTAGGAAAAGCTCTGTTACCATAACAAGGTTAGTATTTTCCCATAACTGGAATGATTTCATTAATATATATATATATATATATATATATATATATATATATATATATATATATACACACAAGTACAAATACATTGATCTAATTAACATGCTAAACTAATACAACATATAATACAACATGTATACACTAATAACGTGCATATGTAATCTTTGGTCTAGTAAGGCAGCTAATGATTATCTTGAGGCGGACTTTCTTATTATATGGTGGCAAATTTGAAATTTTAGGAACAAAATCCTTTTTTATAAGGTTCCTCCTAAAAGAAGTACTAGTTCTTTTTGATAATGTCATCACTCAAGGGTACTCTTGGTGTCATAATAGGTGTAAGGGCTCCTTTTGTTACCCTACTAACTTTTTTCATGGTGATTGCCTTCTTTGGTTGGGTAATCTTCGGTTACGCAAGGCTCCTAAGGATTATCTTGAGGTGGTCTTCCTTATTATCGAGTGGCAAATTTGGAATTTTAAAAACAAGATGTTTTTGATAAGGTTCCTCCTTAAAGAAGCACACTTTTTGATAATATTGTCACTCAAGGGTACTCTTGGTGTCATAGGTGTAAGGGTTCATTTAGTTAGGTTAGTTGGTTGCAAAATCCTTTTTGTGTTGTGATGTAATTGCTGGATTTTATTTTTTCCAGTGTCTTGCTAGTTTGGTTTTATATAATTTCTGCCGTTCTAAATAAAATTAACACGTGTATGTAAAAACAATATTGAATCACTTGATGACATGAACCTTGTACAATCGTCCACGTTATATCCCTCATAAAGTTTTGGCCCAAACTACCTGTAATTTTGGTACATGGATATAATTTTATCTCAAACTAACCATTAACCACATACTAAATTAAGTCTTTAATTTTGTCAAAATTAAAATAAATTAAGATGGTATTTTTATGTAATGCATCGTCCAATTTGATTTTGTTAACAAAAATAATTTTTTCCAAGCAAAATCCAACGAAATGGTCACAAAAAGGAACAAAAGTAAAGGGAAGCAAAAATAACTTTTGACAAAAAATGGACTTAGACTTTTGACCAACCCTAGGCCGTTTATTGAAGACTGGTTCTAGACTCGACTAGACCGACTCAAGACTGAAACTGGATCAACTAAAGGCCGACTAAAGACATGGTAAAAACCGATTGAAGGCTGAAAATGGGGACCGGCCGGTGAAGACGGCGCCTCTAGACTGGACTTGGACTGCTCGGTCCTAGATCGGTCTATTCTTGGTCTAAAATTCAAAACTGGTGCAGACCAGTCCAAGGGTTCACGTTGATCTACCTCTTAGGCCATCCACAATGGGAGTTGTATGAGGGTTTAATGAAATAAATGTGAATATAATATAGAGGAGAGAGAGTGTGAAGTTGAATGACCATTGAACGGTGGAATGAAGTTGTAATTGAAAATTTATTAATTTTTTAAGAATTAAAGTGAATGTGTATATTCTCTTTCCTAGTTGTCAATCCATACAACTCTCCATGGGTTTAATCCATTGGAGATGGCCTTAAGTCAAGGACATGAAACTTGATGGGTTTCTTATTGTCCTAGTTATGTGCCAAGTGAAGTGAGAATAATGTGTTTAGTATCAAATGAAATGAAAGGGAACATATTGGGGATCAAGAAGATATATGTATATAAATATAATGGTAGGAAAATTTTATGGGCTCTGAGCAGACATTGATCAAGATTACGATGGAATTTAAGGACTGGAAGGCGATAAAGTAGACAAAGTAGAAGCTCAAACTTTATTGTGATTGATATGGATAAAAGTTTTGGACATTTGGCTTGAAGACAATGTGTCATTTTTTTTTTGAGAAAAGTAATGTTTGAAATTAGAATTACCACGGGAGAGATTTACTCTAGGGTCATTTTTAGTACAATAACTGTCAACGTATATCCTAGCAAGTTTATATTTTCTGAACTAAGAAATCCGATAAACAGCCCTAGAGATCCTAGGAACTTACTCTCTATTAAACCATTATATATAACATAAGGACCCAAAACTTTATTTTCAGATAGAACTTTGCGTATCAAAATATTCCTACATCCTTTTAATTTAGGGAAGTCTTCATGTAAACCATGGACACATATAAGGTAGACTTTTAGTTTTGGAGTCTCATACTTTTCCTACGTGTGAACAAATTTTTTAACGAAAAACGTTTTGACATAGACAACTAGCTTACATAGTTCTTCATGACAATTATATATGTATATATTTGTAAATACCCTAGCTTCATATATTTCAAGTCCATCAAAGTATAAACGTTTAGATCTTTCAAAACACACATGAAACTAATACGTACTTTATGTATAATGCATGCGTATATATAAGCTAATTAAGTTTTTTATTTATTACCAAGCACACACATATTAATAGGTTTCTTTCTCCTTGTAGCGCAATCAGTCTGCAAAAAGAGCCAAAGAAATCTTATGAGTTTCAAAATTATGACTTACTTTATTAAATATTTGCATATATCTACAAAGTTTCTCTATAAAGAATTAGGAGAACCACATTTACATGTGAATTGTTACATATGTTCGTTGATGCAGAATTCACATGAGAGTGATATCCATATTTAGATTCAGACTTAGGACTTGTATGTTACATATTCAACGCCCCATGGCGTGCATGCAACGTCCTAAATATTCTTAATCAGTAGTTTTAAATCTTGTTCTTATAACTAATGTCATTAATCTAAATATCCACAGGGGACCACATCATTAAATGCTAATCGATTTGAAAATGAAAAATTAACAACAACAAGAATATTATTTGATAACTAAGAATTAATTAATATTTTCAATTACCATAGATGTGATATTGTGCACTAGTCGATTCTTGATGAAGGTTGGGCTGAGTGGGCTGAAGGCGATGATACTGGTATGAATGAAGTTGAAGGTCGACAGGGAGATTTGCAGCTAGTTGCAGAACACTGTTGGGCTGTTCTTCTGATCCATAAAATGGAAACTGTTCAAATAATTGATGTTCTTGTCCAACAAGCTTGAGCTCAGTCATTGCTGCTGCTTGTTGCTGGTTTATCTCCACTTGTCGTTTACTCATCAACTGTTTCAAAATCAAGTTATAACTAGTAATATTGATTAATTATTAATGCAATTAAATTATTAGACCATATATTAAAATTACTTACCCAGTTATACATTTCTTCATTTTCCCTCTCAAGCAATTTTTCCTGCATATATTATAAATATATAAATATGTTCGAAATTTTAATACATAATATATACATATACACCCTTGGCTTTGCATGATGAAGACTACCTTCCTTTGAAGATTGTTCACCTGTTGTTGCCAGAGTTGGAACTGCAAAAAGTATTAAACTGGTGAATAATCTGAAAATAATTAATATATATAAATACATATTAATCATCCGTGATCAATCTTTTGAGTTTTGATACATATAACATTAATTTGCAGCATTAATATGTTTACTAATTAAATGTATTCTTAGCGATAGATTTATATATAATCCATAAGCTCTTTAATTATAATATTAAAAAGAGAGATTGGTTTTTATTTCTATAAAACCTGAAACTATATATTAATATATACCTTTCTAGCTCGGACCTTCTGGATGGAGTATTCCAACTGTTGTTCGAGTTGATTGAGCTCATCAAGCTGTGCGGAGCTCAAGTCATCACCTTTGTATCGTTGAAGACTTAGCTGAAGATTCGATGTCTCCTTCTTTATCCTTGTCATCTCACTATGCAGATGTTCCTTCAATTTCGGATCAGAAAATTATTCAAGTGATTAAGGGTGAAATCAATAAATAATATTGGGTTGTAGTACTTATTGAAAAAAATGAATCTAATCAAAGATCTTACCCTGTTATTGTACTCAGGAATACGAGAACCAGTTGTTTTCAAATATCTGTCTATGATTTGGGACATGCTGTAACATTTCACATGTTAAGAACATGACAATATATATTTGGTTACATTTATTTATAATTCAATTGAAAATTTTAAGTTTAAGATTTTTGACAAACTCAAAAAACCCTAATAAAGCTAACTAAAAATAATGAGTATATATATACAAATTAAGGAATTAAATTGATTAATTTAATAGAAAACCAACTGGCAGATATGAGAAGGAGAGAGAGAGTTTTAGTGTTATACAACTAATTTATGACATTCATTCAACTCCTAAAACCCATTCATACACCGGTTATATGAGTTGATCTCTACAACTTTTATGATACACATTCAAATCTCTTTAGAGATATATGAGATTAGTTATAAACAAAGAGATCGAGCTATAGCTAGGGGAAAGAAACCAAACTCTAAATGAATTGTTGAAAAAAATGTTAAGATAAAATAATAATACCATGAAGATTTCATTCCTGAGTATTCAAAAAGTAATTGAAGAACAGATGAACACGAAGTTAGTTATCAACCTGAGAGGGTGAGTTGTGTACTCAAAAAGTTTCCCTTTGCTAGAGAAGACGATGAGACCAATCTGGGCATCACACAGCACAGACAGCTCATGTGTCTTCTTTAAAAGCCCAGTTCGCCTCTTTGAAAAAGTCACTTGCCTGCTTGTATGGTTCTCAATTCTCTTCACTTCGATCTTTCCTCGTCCCATTACTGTATGATAACTCATACAAACAAAATTTAACCAATTTTAAACTTCTGCAAAGATGTGCCAAAAACCCTAGCTAGCTAGAAAACCATTAAAAGCAAGGAATGTGTATAGATAGATGTATGGGTATGTGATTTCTAGAAAAGAATAAGGGTGTGATCATATGGAGTGTCATAATTGGAATGTTAGACTCCAGTGAAAGAAATCCTCAAATGGCAAACATATATAAAAGTTGAGTGTTGTAGGAGGATGAAAAAGGAAAATGAGGTTTTCTTTTGAGATACTGAGAACTTGAATTTACCTATGATCGACTTAATTCTTTTGCGCTTTTTTTTTTCTTACTTGGATTAGGGTTTGGACAAAGAAGAATACTTCTAACCATTTCAGAAAATGTTAAATATATATGCATTTATGTTACCGCCTGACATGCTATTAAAATAGTTAAATGTTAATAATATTATGGACCATAAACGTCAATGTATAGTTTTTTTTTTTGAACAACAAAAAAAGAAATAAATTAAATATATAGCGACAGAAAAACGTAACCAACCAATCAGACACTTGATCACAAACAACCAATCGAAGTATAAATTTTTAAAAAAATATATACAAGTGTAACACTGCAGTTTGAATATTTTAATTACTAACATATTAGAACTATATAAAAATCTAGCAACATTTAAAAGTAAAAATTATTTTATATTTAAACCATGTTTCTATATATAATCTGATATATTTTTTCAAATACTATCTTATTATCCCATAAAAATAAAATAATGTGTGATATTAAAAAAAAACAACGCAAGGGCCTCACTATTATTTACATATACCCCAAAATTTAATTCTTAAGTTTTTGAGTTCTATAATTATCAAGATGAAATTAAAATTTTAATCATCAAAATCAAATAACCATATATTACATAAATTAATTGAATGAAAAAAGATATATTAATTTGAAGAGAGGGGAGAAAGGGGGAAGAGTAAGAAATGGTAAGAGCGGTGTGCAGAAATTTGGCTTTCATATACATTTTTGGTACCTCTATTAATGCTTCTGTGATTCCTACCAGTCAATCATTACAAAAGAAAAATATTGCGTTAAGACATAATTCTTTCATGCTTAGATACACACTACGTTAAGTGATATACAACTTCAACATATATATATATATATATATATATATATATATATATATATATATATATATATATATATATATATATATAGATCAAATGAAAACATCAAAAAAGTTGAAAACGCAAGAACATTTCTGGATCAATCATATTATAAGGGTATATTAGTAATTGTGTATTTATTTTGAATTAAAACAAATTAAATTCAGATCTTAATTTCCTAAAACTTAAGGATAATGATTATCTATCTAAAATATAATATTAACCGATTTTTTTATTTTTTTTATTAATGGATGATAAAAGATAATTTATATTAATTTTTCTGTAAAATAAAAAATCTTTTTTTTTCTAATTTATTATTCCTCAAAATATTTTTTAATCATATATGAATCAAACATTTGTAATTATAAAAATATATGTTTCTAATCCTAAATAATAAAACATAATTTAAAGATATAACACTTATAAATGAATAAAAAATAAACTACATGAATATGCTAATTAACAAATAAAAAAATCAACACACTAAAATTTATATTAATAAAATAAAATTTTCAAAGATTGAGTTTATATATTTATATTCATAAAAGAATATGTCAAGACTAGTTTCATACATTTATACATAATTATATTTAACAATGATTAAACCACTTCAAAAGAAAAAAATTCCAATTTCATCCCTATATATATCAACGATTTTCTTGAATCGGTCGCAACCCCTTTCTTCTATTTGAATCAAATGGCTCGTGAGCTTGTGTAACGAGCAGGAGCAAGAGCAGGAGCAGGAGCAAGTGCGATACCTAAAAAATTCTAGCATTCCTTTTTCTTTGATCAATATCTACAAAAATGATAATAACATGTAAAAACAATAAAAAGATCATCAAAATATTTAAATGAATGATTAGTAGAAAAGCATGCGTTGTTATAATCATAAATGATTATTATCAATGTCTTTTAATCATATGCACAATCATGTTTATAATCATAAATGATTATAACGAGCACAACCCAAAACCTACAAAAATGGATCAAAATTAAGAAAAAAAAAAACAAATACCTTGATTTATGTATGATGTCCTTACGTTCTTCTATTTTCAACCTTCGAGACCCACACAAATGAGCACACCAAGTTTCCTTTTTGACTATCCATCTCCATTTACTTGAACTTGGTTGCAGGATAATCAATAGAAACAAAAATAAAATTATTCATTAATGAAGAGATAAGCAACATATGATTAATATATATATATATATATATATATATATATATATATATATATATATATATATATAACTTTTGTTGTTACTTTATCTGTTTGATTCTTTTTTGTGCATTTAGAACTCATTGTGATAGACGGTCATAAATTTAGACACCAATCAAGTGACTTTTTTTTTAAAATTTATTATTATTATTATTGACTACCCATAGAGAACAAATAACTACAAAGAAAACATATTCATATGACTTGGCTTTTGAACCAATAAACAAACCTAGTGCGATTTCGAATTATCAATTTAGATATACTCAATGCAATGAATGTAAGTATAAAGTGAATATATCATCTTAATATTGCAAAAACCCGCAATATAATAACTAAAATTCAAGTGGGATAAAACCAAAATAAAAACCTAAAATTCTAAGGTTACTTTGAAACAGGTAACAAGAACACAATTATAATGAACCTGGATATCCACCAGATTCCGATCACCATTGACTGTTGCCGCCACCTAAGATTGTGTCGCTGCTAACTCTATGGCTTCCACCGGGTTCTGATGATTCCACTAGGTCATGTGTCGATTCCAAAATCTATAGAATTAAAAACAAAGAAAATAGGAAGTGTGATTACCCGTAGGATAAACATTCTTCATGACGGGAATAACAAAGGTGGAGTTCTGGAAGTTGGTAGTGACCCTAGACTGAGGAAGGGTGTGACGAATAACGCCAACTTCATGACACATTTTCGGTGACAAGAAGGATGACGGAGGAGGTCTAACAACCAACAACCCTAGGATGTGGAAAGGCCCGGTTCTCATGAATGGAGGAGACATTGGATATAGAGATGGTTGGAGATAGAAGCGTAATCGAGGTCTTATTGTGCGAGATGGTGGTTGCGTCGATGGTAGGTTGGTTTTGTAGAGATGTTGTGTGGTAGGGATGGAGGCATATTTTCATCTTCAATTGGTTAAAAACCTAATTTAATTAGAAAAAGGGAGAAAGAATATGTAACGTCCCAAAAATTAAGACAAAAAATTTTCGTTTTTAAATTAATAAAACTATTGTCCAAAACATCATCATAAAAATCATGGTGAAACAGAGTGTATCAACTACATCACAAAACATCAGAGTAACATAAAAATGCTGAACGATGTGGTGTGTGCACTGCAATCATCCCAAATTCTTCCCATTCGAACAAGAAGTACCTGAAAACATAAACTGAAGACCGTAAGCACAAAGCTTAGTGAGTTCCCCAAAATAACACAAACCATACATAATAAACATATAATGGGCCCTGCCCGTCATTGGGCCCCATCCGGCATCGGGCCTCGCCCGACATCGAGCCGCGCTCGGTATACAGATTTGTCAGTCATCGGGCCCCGCCCGGTATACATATAATCATATAAACAGATAAACACATAACACATGTAATAATCACAAAGATAAATAGCATATAGAATGGTCATCGGGCCCTGCCCGGTAAACATATAAATACACAACATATGCAAGAGTCACACAAACATCTAGCATCTAAACATAACAAACCATGGCCCGACATTGGTGCCTTCGACCCGCTAAACATAATGAGGAAACTCACCTCTAGCTGCTGAAATACACAAATGAACCTCTGTCTGCTGGTCCGGAAAATCCCCGCGCTATCATCATCAAATAATATCCAATTAATAATTGGATCTCGACCCATAACCAAGAATCTAAGCTACTTAGCCCATAACTAGGGTAAAAGGCCATTCTACCCTTTTTCTTACTTGGCCCAAAACCAAGGCCCAACCCAACTACTCCAAAAGTCCCAAATCCTATATGGCAACCCAAAGCCCAAAATGGCCCAATCTTCCAATTGGGCCCAAAACCCATCATAGGCCTAAATCCAAAGAAGCCGGAAATATACTAGTCAAAAGCCCAACTCAGAAGTCTAAAGGCCCATCAAGGCCCAATCTTCAAAGTCCAAGGCATGGCCCACAACCGTGAACGCCAAGCCCAAGAGCCTATTTGCTGAGTACGCGGGGGCGTACTCAGCTCGTACGCCCAATGTACTCCCCTGACTACTAGTCCTCTTCATTAAGCACTTAAACAGTTAAGACCTTTTTCCAAAACTCTCAGATATGGTCCCTAAGGGTGACTTATCATGTAAGGCTGGCAACTTTACAATCATCCATGACTTAATGGGACTCAAAGCTCAAAAAGGAGCTTAATAAATATCTTAATATATGCATGGACCAATATCCTCCATAAAGTTTGCATTATATGAACATGGTGCCTTAATGAAGCTAAGATCTAACATCTATTGCTTCTGGAGTAGATCAAAAGCTCAACTTTAACTCAAACGACTCAAAAGTTCATAAATAACACCATAAACTAGATCTAGGACAAAAGACCATCAAGGTGAGAGCTTTTTACCTCAAAAGGGTTGCAAAGGGGAAGGTAACTCTGGATCTACATGCTCAAGCTATTCCTCTAAGTGTTCTTCTTCTTCTTCTTCTTTTTCTTCTTTTTCTTCTTCTTCTTCTTCTTCTTCTTCTTCTTCTTCTTCTTCTTCACCACAATACACCAGCAAACACACTTTCAAGCTTAAATCTCACCAAATGCACTTAGGGTTTCGTTTTCTAGGTAAATAGAGATGGAGGCTAATAAAAAATGTTCAAGAGGTGCTATAATGAGGTTTAAATAGGGTGCAAACCCTAAAAATGAGAGTTTGCCCCTGCACTACGTACGCCATGCGTACTCCACGTACGCCCCGCGCACGTGGGTGAAACCC